GCATTGTACCCGCCCTCTGCTGCAGTACTCCATCAGGTCCATCAGCAGAGGGCGGGTACAATGCTAGTTTACTATTGGCTATTGCAAATTGAAATAGCCAATAGGAATCTAGCAATGCATTCCAATGGGCAAAAACATTTTTTTTTCTATTCTGACACAGCTCTGTGTCAGAATAAATGAAAAAAAAAGATAAATCAGTGTTTCTCTCCTGGGCGGCCGGGAGCGGGAGGCTCCCAGAGCGCCCGGGAGATTTTCTTTTTTTCTTTTTACGGCAGCAGAGCCGCCGGACATTAAAAAACTGTTGGGCGGAGCTAGCTATCATTGCTAGCTCCGCACAATCGTTTTCTATTTACTTTTTTTCTGTTCTGCTCGGTCCCTCTGAGGGACCGAGCAGAACAGCCAAGCCGAATGCCGCTCAGGGGCATTCGGCTATTCACTCACTGCTGTTCGGCATCTATAAGAATAGGCCCAACAGCAGTGAGTAGCCTGCCGGAGGTTCGGCTCAGCCAATCCAGATGTTGGATCGGCTGAGTCGAACTCCTGCACTTCGGGTCAGCCGAACATGCTGAGCAGCCGATGTACGGCTGATTTCAGCCGATATACGGCTGAAATCAGCTGTACAAGCCTGAAGTGAATAGTCGAACAGTGTTCGGCTCACTTCACTTGGGGTCGGTTGTTGTTTTCTGAAAATTTGGTGAACATAGAAATCTTAGGTGCGTACAGAGGTGGATATAGAGAGTGCAGACAACAGCTGCCAGTTGACGGGTGAAATAAAATGAGCCATTAAATTAAAGAGTAATGCAAACATAACCAGGTAATTTTTCTTAATCTTGTAGTTTTATATCTGCTAACAATTGGTTAGATTAGACAACATTTAGCCTCTGCTAAACTTTCCAGTTGTATTCTAATGTGCTTTTTGCAAGCACATTCATTCTAGAAGGTTCACTGTCTGGTAAGTATGGTAAACTATTTTTCTTCAGTTACTATCCAGGATTAATATTTCTGTTCCCAGTTCCATTCAAATGTTTTTTTTCTGTACAGTCTAGACTTTATGATGTTCAGCAGTAGGGATTGGTATCTGTTAAATTCTCATTCAACTGTATCTGTAAATTGAATATTCATCTCACAGATATTTAAGGAATATGTGGTTCATTTTTCCATCTGTTTTACTTACTTGTCTCCTGCATTTTTCTTTCACACAGCCCATACAAGTGAAGGTACAGCATGCATGACCTGTCTATGTATTAGCTAGCCTGGCTCCATTCATTCATATGTTCCATCAGTGTCAGCAGTGGCGTCACCAAGGGCAATCATACCATTTAGATATGACTGTTGAATTTTGGTGTAGGTTCACAGAGTTTCCTTGCTTTCTCATGTCATAATGGATTGCCAAAACAGTTACAGTATCTATTGCTGACTAGAGTAAGCACAGTTGATTCTTAATCTGGGCGGTTCTTCATGAACCGGACAGCATTCACATAGCAGGTGCTGCTGTTGGCACCTTTTCAGCTGGCATCCCTCGATCAGCTGATCGAAGGAGCCGGTCAGAAAATCTGACGTCTCTATTCGGGTATTAAACAGAGAAACGGAATACAATTATGACAGCGGGAGATTCCTCAATCAACACTCGTAAGCGTTGATGGAGGAATCTGGTATATTTTATTTGTCCAGCCCGCAGGTTGAACGAAGAAATATTACAGTGTATGGCCACCTTTAACTAGGCAAAAGCTTGCACAAACAGCTTAGCGAGTGTGCCCAGTATTGTGGGTAGATTGTAAGTTTCACCTGTATTACAATCATCAAATTGTGCAAATATATATTGGTGTTTCTCCATATGTAAAATGCAAATGCAATTGTGCAACCACAAAGTTCTGTAGTCTGTAGTTGTACAAAGATAAGGAGTACATCTTTGACTGGTTACAGGTGTGAAAAGCTGTCATTTGCCCTTAGCCTGAATTTGTTTTGGATTGTTGAAAGTTTCCTGCGAAGCGTAATGGCCATTTCATTTCTTTGTTATATGGGTTTGAAGGTGCCTGCACACAAGTTTTTGTATGAGTAAACATTACCTTACATTCTCATTTGGTACACACTGTGTGAAGTTCTGGCATAAAGGCACAGTATTTTATTCAGTTCATTCATAAGAACACATCCTTGTGACGCCACTGATGTTTTCTTTCCGTAGTATATGTCATTTCAATGGGTATAGTTAATGTGTTTCCCTATATTAGTGCGTTTCATAGATCACCTTTGCAGAAACCTGTTTGAAAGCAAAATGTAAGCAAAGCTTTGATGCCCAGCAAGCTATTGTGTTCTTCACACACAAGCAGTTTAGTGCAATTCTATGCTTGTGAAAGATACACTGCCTGAAAACCATTTAACATGAAGTCTGTCCCCGAAACCATATCGAACATGGTAGTTTATACATGGTTATACACTGTTATTCAAGTTTAAACAGATTGAAGAGAAGGTATCAGGAATAAGCTATGCTTGACATATTATACATAGTAGTTACATAGTATTTGAGGTTGAATAAAGACATTAGTCCATCAAGTCCAACCTATTATTCCATTGTCAAGTCTGCTTTGAGAAGGTAACACAGGTAGCCATGCTTGAAACAAGGGTACACAAGGGCAGCCATGCTTGAAACAAGGGTACAGAAGGGCAGCCATGCTTGGAGCACCATAAGAATGGCATGCCTTAGAAGCACTTCCCAGATATGTTGTTGTCTCCAATAGCACATAAGAGGGCAGCCACTACTAAATCAGTACCATGCCTTAAAGGCACTTTATATAAGGTCAGGCATGTCTGAAGTGGTACAACAGTGACAAGCCTGATTCTAAATTTACATGGAAAGCTTTACAGAACTGTTCCTGTGTGAGAAAATATCAAATTGTATGAAATCAGGCATGTGTACTGTTTTGTCCATTTCTAATTTCCCTTGAAATTCTGCCCAAGGAGTTTTGTAGGTAGCCTAATTGTGCTTCCAGATTCTGTTTACAGTTCTCTTGGCACATATTTGTTCACTGGCCATTTTCAAATTATTTCAACATACTTTATACAGGCTCTTGACAGCCTATGCCCTAAGAATTAAAATATTTTAACACTACATGTACTGGTTTTCTTGGATATGTTGTAAATCATGAATCCAAACACTTGATTTGCACCATATATCACAATATACAATTCGCTACGAGCTTGTGTAGCTCAGAGCTTTGACTTGCAGTCTTAAAGCATTAGTCCCTCTGTTTTTTTTTTTTTTTTTTTACAAGTTCACTTTTCTATGCAAGTACTATATTTGTATTTTTTTAATGGAACTGATTTTGCCTTCTCTAGTATAACAAAAGACAATCAACACCTTTTTTTTTGTAAATGAATTACAACTGGGTTGATTGTTTCATTTTTTTTTTAGTATTTTTTCCTTTTGTTTTCTATTGCTGTATCACAGAGGGGTTTCTGTTCTAGGACTGTTTATTTTACGTGCCTTGTTTCATGACTACTTAAAGTACAGTATGTTTCACCTGATGTCAAAATTGTGGTTCCATCTAGTCTATAGTCTCTATTCTGTATTGTCTATTGTGTATTACAATTGGTGACAATGTCATTGCAGGCTTTGTTTTTCTTTATTCGTAATCTGTAACATCATTGTCAGTAAATATATTACATAGAATATACTAGAAGTAAGGTATCTATGAACAAATCCACATTTACTGACAACAGGAACATCACAGTTTTCTTATTGGCTTTTTAAAATTAGTGATCACTTTGTAGTTTATGTTGCGTTGTTGAATGCCCTGGTTGCAGCAAAATGCAAAAGTAAATATTGCATGCTTTGATTGTATTGTGCTCTGGGTGTTTTGGTATTGTTAAAGGGAATAAAAGTGATTTTACAAGTAAAATTACATCACTTGAAATGATGGTAAGTACTGGGTTTGGTTTTACTGGATACATGATTCTAAGAGAAGAAGCCTGTATAATTTACTTAAGTGTAAATAATCTAGATTCTAATACTGACCGACATAAACTTATGAACAATGTGCATCTATTGTTGCACATGCTTTAGTTTATACACGTAAGATAACAGTGGTATTTTTGGATGTTTCATTTCTGATAGAGAAGTGGGACTAGGCTGAATCTATAACAGGAGAATTAACTTGCATTCCATGAAATCTACATTGAAAATGTTTTGGCTTTATGTGGGTCTGTCATATAGAAATGGTTGGTAAAACGTTGAGGAAAGTGCTAATTTTAGGTGGGATATATATTGCGTTTGGGAGGGGAGGGTTAGAGGGCAATGTGGCCAATGGTCTCATTAAAATAAATTTAAGGGGACAGAATCCTTTAGAACAGGAAAGGAAGTATTGGTTTCTCAATGTCTGGATACTTTTTCATCAAAAAAGAAACATTTTGTTTAAGGTAAGAAAGCACATTTTTAAAGATTTAATAACATTTCTGTCTTTAGTTCAGCTTTAATGGTAAAAGAAACAACAAAAAAATAAATAAATATTAAATTATCATTTATAGGGGAGCTATTATGTTTACATTGAATGTAGGTTTTCCCATGTGAATTTGCATACATATTCATTATTCTGCAGTTAATGGCAAATCAGATTTTTCTTGGTGGGTAATTTTACAAACCTGAGAATACAAAGTTTCATTTTGTGTTATTGGAAAGTTTCAAGTAGGTTCTTTGCAAATTGGTATATGTTTCTGGATTCTTTTCAGTTGGTAAATGTTTTAATATGCTTTAACTAATTATGTTTTTGTAGCAATGATGAATGGAGTTTGTTTCTATACCATTGCCTAGTTATCAGTGCACAATAAACTCAAAATGTGCTCATCATATTGTTTTAGAGACAATGGGAAAACTGGTACACAGGAAAGGGTGCTCAATCCACATGTACCCTGTATAGCTTTGTTGTCCAAACTGCATTTTACTTTTCTATGTATCAGTTTTGCAGATTATCCTTCAGCATGTTATTTTTTATCTGTACAAGCTGTTTAGGATTTGTAATATTACATTTTACAGGATGCACAATTGATTGCTGTAAAATGCTTTGTGTGAGTTATTGTAATGCAGAAGACATAATTCACAGTCCCTTTTAGTCCCAACTATGCATTCAGTAGTCCCTAACTATACCTTAATGGTGTCACTATTCTAGTCTGGAGGGCAAGACCAGGAGAGGAAGAGAACAAAGCGCAGAGGAGACCTTTACTCCATACAGACTTCCCTGATTGTGGCTGCCTTGAAAAAGATGCTACCCATTGGGCTGAATATGTGCTCCCCGGGGGATCAGGAACTCATTTCACTTGCAAAGAGCCGATATTGCCTTGTAAGTACAGTAGCATCATATAGATTGCTGTTTCTCTAATATTCCTGGAATGGTGATCCAAGGATCTTGGCTGGGAAATGTGTGTGAGAAAAAGATGTGCATTCCATTGCATTCATTTATACACAAATTATCTTTGTACTGAATTGCTGATGACTGCAAATAAATGCTATTTTCATTTGGAATGTACACATCACATTTGCATTTCTATCTTTATGTTGGGATTAGCCTGCGTGTGTAGTTAAATTCTTCTTGCATAATGGGCATACACAGTTCTTTTTGAATGTAGTCTTATCGCTAAGATAGGGACAGATTATAACCTCTGTGTTAGTTTGACATTGATCTGTTTCATGATTGATGTCAATATAACAACCAGTAAAACTTGCAGAGTCAAATGCTTGTCCCTTTTTAATGAAAAAAAAAAAAAGAAATTTGATAAGCTGTTAGAAGACCAACATTTTATTTCTTTAGTGTGATCACAAAGGTGAACTTAAAAGCTAAAGAATAGTGGGTGGAGCCATGTAAATAATTGTTTTTGCCCTTGGGCCACCTGTGCACCCAGAACCTCTGGTTTAAAGCAGATGCAGGATAATCATTTAGAGCCATCTATTCCAAGCTGCATACAGTTATTTCAGATTTAATGGCCATCATCTGTGCAGTTAAAATACACCATAGCTTATATGAATTGTTTTCTCACTTTGGGTATCCCCTTTAATTAACGGATAACCCCTTCGCTCCAGTGTCGGTCAGAGTGCCTCCCCCTTTTTTCCAGATGACTATAGTCCTCAAGAAAAACAGGGTGAAACTCCCCAACAGGGACACAGGAAGCAATATGAAACATTCTGTCCAAGAATAGAAAGAAATGTTTTGGCTGCTATTTTTTTTTTAAGGAACCAAATAGTGTGAATGACTAGAACATTGTAGTAGAACCATGGATAGCTCCTAATAACACATTGCTTTGTACAGTTCAGCCAGTTTGTTTTGCTCCACTAAGGCACAGTCAGTCCAGTAAAACTATACAGCACATTTGAATCTGTATAGTTCTAAATATATTTACGTATATAACAGTCACATGAGAAAAAACAAAGGAATCAATATATCATTATGTGTCATAAATGAAAGAGCCATTAAAACATTGTTTTTTTGATGCGATACTCTTCACAGAAAGACACAGACGAAGAAGTAAAAGAACACTTACGCAGCAACCTCCACCTGCAGGAAAAAGTAAGTGTTTATAGTCGAACAATACATAGGGTAAGAGATCTTTTATTTAAGGAGTTATGAAATAATGAATGCATGTATGAAATATTATGTTTGTAAAATAAAATTCTTTTGATGAATGATCCCATTTGACATATGACAACTACTGCATTCCAGCCATTTTGCCCAGATTTCATCATTCTGTTTGCTACATTAGTCATTTGGACATTGGTCTACGTTATAATGTCTGGCAGCATTTAACCACCTGCTGTCTGGCCGTTGTAATTAAACGGCTGGACAGCGGTTTCTTGAATGCGGGTGGGCGTTTTTAAACGTCCCATCCCGTCCCGCTCGTGCCCGCCGCTAGGCGGTGGGCACGAGCGGGAATTCAGCCTGCACTGTAAACAGTCTGCGATGGCTGTTTACATACAAGCGTTCGGGCGTCTGTAGAGATGCCCGATCGCTTGTATTAAGCGTGCGGGTGTGCACTCCGCCGCTGCTGGCGATCCCGAGCTCCGCTGTGCCCAGTGCGAGCCCGGACCAGCACAGCAGCTCTGCGGCCAGAGCTCAGTACACGAGCTCCGTTTGTTCTCCTCCTCCTCTTCGGATTGCAGGCAGTGATGTGTATTACATCACTGCCTGCATTCCTCTGTCACTCTCCGGTACAGAAACCGGAGAGAAGCTGGTGAAGCAGGTGTTTGCTTCATCAGCTTCTCTGGCGGTCCCTAGGTGACATTAGGGTTCTTAAAGACCCCTGATGTCTCCATAAAGAGGACCTGTCAAAATTGGCCATCACAAATGGGGCTTGTTGGTCCCCTATGTGATAGCAATAAAGTTAAGTGAAACAAATTTTTTTCAAAGAATTAGTTACAAAAAAATATAAAAAAGGTAATAAACGTTTTTTAAAAATGTTTTAAAGTCCCCTGCCCCCCACATAAACATGCAAACATGCGTCGAGTGCGCCTAAGTGCGTAAACGACGATTGCATCCATTGCGCCGCACATGTTACATAGAGCAATAATTCTAGGGTCATCAATCACTGATAACACTAAACTGATGAGCGGTAAAATCTTTTAAAGCGTCGCCTATGGCCAATTTTGGGTATGGTAGTTTTTGCGAGTTCGCGGACGCACGCAATTTTAAAGCTTAACATGTTTGGTGTTTATTTACGCGACGTGACCCCGACTTTTATATTTTGCCAAAAATTTGCGTAATAATAACTGTTTTATAACATAACATAGGGAAAACAGTTTTTTTCCCCAAATTTTCGGTACTTTTTCATTATATAGTAAAAAATAAAAAAACCCAGTGGTGATTAAATACCACCATAAGAAAGCTCTATCTGTCCGCCCCCCCAAAAAAAGGTATAAAATTAATTTCAGTACAGCGTTGCATGACGGAATAAATGTCAGTCAAAGTACAGCAGCGCTGAACACTGAAAAATGGCCTGGACAGGAAGGGGGTGTAAACACCCCGTTCAGCAAGTGGTTAACAAAGCTCCACTTGAAAGAGCAGAAGAAGTGATTAAACACATTAATTTACATGATCATTTTTTAAAAGTGATTGTGCGACCTGCAGCACACAGTGTTGGAGGGCTGCTCACTTTACCAGCTCTTATTTGAAATGCCTTTTTGACACACACCTGGGCCCAATTAATTAGCTGTTCCATGCTGATGCTGTACCAATAAGCCTTGATTTTCTTCATTTAAAGCTAATTGATGTTAACAAATTTGTATTTAAGACAAGCTTCTGTGCTACCCAGTTTCCACTTGTCCTCCACAACTTGAACACTGACCTTGTCTTTCTCTTGCTGCCAGTCTGAAGATCCTGCAGTTAAATGGCAGCTGGATTTGTACAAGGATATTCTGAAAAGTGAGGAGACCGACCCTGAGAAAGCTGTAGAACGTGTTCAGAAAATATCTGCTGCTGTCTTCCATCTTGAACAGGTAAAAATCCCTAACCTCTGAGGGCAATCTCTAATGGTGCCCATACACTGTACTGGCTTTCGATGATCGCAAGTACGATCTGCCTGTCCAAGATGGGCAGATCGTACGAGCTTTTAATAAGCTTACGACCATCGCAAGACAAAAGTCTTGCGATGGTCGTAAGGTGTATGGGCACCTTAAGACAAACTATGCCATCTATATTGTCTACAATTTTGAAAACACACAAAAAGCATTTAAAAATACAGTGCAGACATAATATTGGATTATGTTTTAATTTCCCATGTCAATCACTGTCTCTTTGTAGGGAATGCCTAATATAAATTCAAATTACATTCATTGAGCTGCCTACATGGAGTTGTCCCCTTTTTTTATTCCACATTTTAATGATTCTTAATTCCTATGTTCACACATTGACCACAGGTGGAGCAGCCCTTGAGATCTAAGAAAGCTGTCTGGCACAAACTCCTGTCGAAGCAGAGGAAGCGAGCTGTTGTGGCCTGTTTTCGCATGGCCCCTTTGTACAATCTGCCAAGGTTAGGCTCAAGAGATGTGTCCTATTTCTTTCTTTGTCATTACTGTCGAGCCTCAAGCTACTAGGGGCTCTGGATGTCCTTGTTGTGAATGATCTTTGCTGCAGTATAACCCAATATGCAGCTCTGTGCTTTATTCCTATGCTGTGTTGCATTGACTTTGCAATTTGCATTGTTGTGAACTTGTTCTTTGCCTAAAGCTATAATTCCCCTCATGTTTACATCATGAGCGATTTGTAAACATACTGGATGACTGTTAAATTGGGTTGTAAAATATTTAATTTCTTTTCTAGTTAACATAATTATGTCATAAACTACTAATATAAAGATTCCCAACAGTACCGTATAAGATCTTTCACTGTTGCACTGATCTAAAAAGTTATCAACCATTTTACAGTTTTGTTACTCTTTCATAATGTTAAAGGGTTGCAATTAAATTGCATTACTAGCAACACTTTTACTGTGATAATATTTAGGCAAAGGGTTAGCCTATATGCATATATATGTTTTCGATGTATTCACTGACAGTTTCCTAGCTAAGTGTTTATGACGGGCAAAGAAGAGAATACACTCAGTATGTGGCAATGACTAAAGTTTTCCAACAGAGCTTAACATGCATCAGTTGGATATATGCATGGAAGGTATACATGAATCCATGCATAAGGTATGCATGCGTCATGTATGCCAAGTTATGAATTCATGCATAAATTGAGTTGCACATGCATATGGAAGGCATGGATAAGTATGTCACAAATAAAGCTATATAAAGGTTATATGCATGGTATTTATCAGTTGTTTGCCTATACTCTCTAGCAGAATGTGCAATGTAATCCTGATCTTTTTGTAGAATATCTGCTGTTATGCCGCATCAGTGGTAAGGGGTATTCAGGACTACCATAAGTAGCTCACCAATACACATTTCATGTATCAATGCAGTTAATTACTGTTTATATTTAACAAATTAGTTAGAACTGAAATGCACAGATTAGTAAAAAGGATTAGCAATACAGGGCATATATTGGTAATCTATCAAGCCTTAAAAGAGTTTTTTGTCAGTTTGAGCCACTGCTATTACTGGTGGGCTGCTTCTACATTTATTACTGTTGATATTAACATATCTTAGTCATTTGGCAATATATCATTTTGGAAGCTATAAGCTTTTTTTTCTTATTTTAGCTTTTCTGCTGACACAATTATTTCCTTAGGAATAACCGTTTATAAAAATCTGTTACTTTGTGCTGAGTTCTTGCATCAACCATTGCCTGGGTCTCTTTAAAAAAAAAAGAAAAAAATGCCTTTTTAAACTTAATGGAAAGATTCCTTAGCATGTATGTTCTGATTACAGTTTAGTACTGTGAATTATTTGAAGCAGGCATCTTGATATTATGGCACCATTATCAAAGGGTTTGGCATCTATTGCTACGTTAGCTGTTTTATTAACTAATGTGTATGCCTACTCTATGGCTCCACTATGAATTGTAGCACGTTTACCAGGATTTTCCTCAATTTGGCCAATGTAGTTAGGCTATTTAGTTCAGTAAAGATACATGTTGGATGAACATGATTAGCCAGCATGTCTAATAAATGCTTCCATGCAAAGGTGAACTTCAGATAAAGTTTAACATCAGTAAGATAAGTATATAGAATTACCAAAGTAGGCACAATAGTACAATGGCCTCAGTGTTCCTCTAAATTAGCATAGGGTAAAGCATAGCATGGTATCCTTGGCAAAAGGACAATCTGGCCTAGTCTGGGATAAATCAGTGCTACATGATATGCATGTGCAATGCTGTTTACGCATTAATTGCACCCAAATGTAATTACCTTCTGTTTGTTTCTTTGCATCAGAATATTCTTATCCTCTATGACTATAGGATAAGAATGCAGTTTGTTTCAAATCATGTTCAATGCCAATTTTCCTTGTTTTTTTGCTTTACGTCTTTTTAGAAAGTCATTTAATATTTGTGAACTTTTCCTTGTGTTGCTGGCGCTTGAATAAAAACTTGTATGCTTTTCTTCAGACACAAAATTAACAATTTCTTCCTGAGCTCCTACCAACGTATATGGCTGGAAAAAGTACATGAGAACTCAGACTATGACAGTCTAATACTCGTGTTAACGGTAATGTAACTTGTGGCTACGCCTATCCTTGTGCACACAAGTACTCCACCCCAGCCATGATGTGATGTTTTCATTGGCTTGTGCAATTTTGCCAAGAGATTCTGATTGGTCAGATTTCTAATGTATAATAAATACCTGCTCCACTAGTTGAAAACATGTTTTTAAAGGCTACTGCCAATGCAATTTCTACATATCCCTGCAACATGCTTGATGCAGTAATGTTTTTCAAAAATATTACACATTTGCTTATATACGACAAGCAAGAATAATACATGGAGCACTTTGATATATTGCGCTGTAAGAACCTAAACCACGTTTTATTCTGAAAGATGTGCTGACCAATCAGAAGCTCCTAAATTGTACAAGATTCCAAACCCTACTAATCATGAGTCACCTGAACATTTTTTTTTTAATGTTCTTTTGTACCCCTCTTGATCCCACTTTCACCCCCTGCCAGGCACCGTTGTATTAACCTCTTCCTCCATGGTTATCAGAGATTTTGGATACAAACAGAGGAAAATTCCTTTGAGGAGACACTAATTCAGGATTTGGCTGTAAGTACGGGATTAGCTGAAGTTTGGCTCAGAGCACAAATAAATAATTAGTACATATGCATTACTTCTAAAGAGTGGCATCTTAAAATGAGGTATGCTTCCTTCACAGCTTTTAAACACAACCCAACATGTAACTAATCACACAGTGTTCACATGTCTTTTGGTTAGGTTGCTCTACCATGATTAATAGGTCTAATTAGTATAGTTAAACATGGCTCCTCATGTGAAAAATCTGCAAATCAACATGGTGCATCAATTTTACAGAGTTTCCTCATTAATAGTTATTAATTAAACTTGCTCTGATAATTAGATCACTTATTAATAATAATTTTTATTACAAATTTTTGTGTTTAAAAGTATTGGCACAACCTTGTCGTTTACATTCAAATAAATATTTAATATGTTAACATTTGGTTTGTTTAGATGGCTCCTGCAGTGTCAGTTAAAGAGCTGTACTGTTACTTAATATCAGCTTAAAGTATTACTGCAGGCTGGGCGTTTTTTTACCTTTAGGGAGAACTATGAGGTGAGTGAATTATACCCATCCCCATAGTTAGAGCCGACGTGTGACATTGAATCTGTCCCACATCGGCTCTATTGATCGGGAAGTCAACGAAAACATACCACCGCTTGCTCACTTCTCGATAATCTCCCTGCAGAGAGTGGTGACTGCCAGTCACCACTCCCCACAGGGTTTCCCCCCTCCTCCCCACTCCAATCCTCCAGCGCTGACTGGAGGGACGGATGGGAGAGGGGCGGGCATAGCTGGCTCTGCCTTTAGATAGGCAGAGCCCTCTGTCCTATCAGCCAGTGGGGTGGATCTCAACAGTATTGTTGGGATCCGTCCCGGCTGCGGTGCTCTTAGCATATAATGGGCAATAGCCTGCTATATACTGAGTTTTGGGTCATGGGAGGACATAGTATATGTCCTCCCGTGACACTTAAGAGAACTATGGGATGAAAAAGTTACCCCATAGTTCTCGTTTAATGTATACTCTGCATTAAGGTAAAAAACGCCCAGTACCCCCTCCCCCCCTTACATGTCAGCACTCACTTTCACCGCCGCCGGTCCACAAAGTAACCCTCCATCCCGAACTTCCTGGTTGCTGGGGAGGATACTGAGGGCAGAGGAGCCATAGACTCCTTCCATCAGTCAAACTGGAGAGGAGGGGCGTGGCCTGCCGCAGGGCTCTTTGTGTGCCTAAGGATGCACACAGCCACTGCGGGCTTGGCAGGAAAGTGCAAGTATGGGTGCCTCTACAGCAGCTGCTTAGCTGATGGAGGCACCCTTGCAGGGAGAAAGAGGGAGAGCAATGTGGGGACCCACTAGAAAATGAGGAATAGAAGACTAAAAATATAACAATAAAGTTCTGCATAAATGCAGTCTCACATTGAGAAAAAAATAAAGGTTTAATATCACTTTAAGTTCCAATTACTTCATATGTACATATCATGTGAAACTGTACCATGATGACTAATATGTATCTCTAAGAACAGTGTGTCTGCTGAATATTTGCACATGGCTACAAATATAATGACTATGAACAGAGGCATTACTCTACTTTGTTGACATATCACTGAGACATTGAGCAACCAAAATTTCTGGTGTATCTGCCATTCCTGGGCTCCAATTTTACCACTATTTAGCAGGACCTGCTAAATCCCAGCATTATGATCTTGAAGAAACAGCTGATTGAGCCAAACCTTGCAATGCTGTTATATTGTATAATAATGTAAATAATTAGGGATATGCCCTTATTTCAGTTAATTTGTCATTACTGCTTTGTCATGCCAAAGACCCCATGTACCTTAATTGATTGCTCATGTGCTCTGTGTGTTTAGCATTATCCCAGTTCATATATCAACACATTGTCTACTTTGATGCTGCAAATATCTGTGCATTGTGTCTTTGTGTACATTCCTAAGAGCCCCATGTCTGGCAGGATAAGGCCTGCTGCCGAACAAGCCACTGGCCAACTAAATACAGCATATAGTCACTGCACACAGCCTATTGCAGTCAAAGCAGGTTTTATAATTGGGTCATTTACAGGGAATCTGTGCTTCTCAAGCACTCTTTCTGTTATCTTTTAAGTAATGGTAATAGAGGCGTGCCAGTGCATAGTCTTTTAGCTTGCTTTCAGGAAGTAGACCGCATGATAAATAAACCAATTTAAATTATGCTGGTTCTGAGTCAGTCCTGGACATTTTAAGATATACATTTTTTTATTAATGTACATAGATTGATTCGTAATAGATTTCCCCTCACTGTCAGTGACAACGGCTACACCAAACAGGAAGTGAGGCAATTCTGCAGCAGGGACAGGCACAGCAATAAAAAGCTAAATTGTGTTCTAGCCTTTGTTTACTCTGCTAAACATTGTATTTTAACCTCTGTGCTGCTGTTAAAGGTTTTCCCTTGCTTCTTATCTGGTGAAACCATTGTCAATGGCACAAGGAGTGGGAAGAAATCTTCGAAAGGAGGCCCCAGAAAGCAGTTGAAAGAAACTCGATAGGGTTTAGTTGTACATACACTTTAACACTGTGACTGAGGTTTTGCTATTTAATATAGTGATAGTTTTGGGACAGCATAACATTTTATTACATTAGTATTTTAGTTCTGTGTGACATGTTACGTTTTTCGCCTTCTTCCATAGTTTATAGGTTTGCTGATATTACAGTCATATGATGGTGGTGTCCCTATATTATGTTATTTTGTCACAATCATTAATTTTATTGTTGTACAGTATAAATAATAATTACAGATATGCTAATGAAAATGATCTGTGAGAAACTGCTCTTAGGAAAAACAGTGTTCAGTTTATATTTTAATGTAGTAATTTGCTGGAAAGGAAGCAGCAAAAGATGCACCATAGAAAAGATTCTACTGTTTTTTAAAATAATTTTTTATTAAATTTTGTCCTAACATTACATAGACAATAACTCCCACCGCCGAAAGGTTACAAGATACGACTAGGGAAAAAAAAACCATCACATTTAACATCACATTCGACAAGTACCATAGTCAACCAGTGTAAAAGTAGAAAAACATCCCCCAGAAAGCCCCCCGAGCCCCCGAGAAAGTATGTGTCCTGCAATACCCAAAAGCTTCCATCAGAGCATAATGATTGAGTTACTGGTATGACAATATAGCGAGCAAACTACATTGAGGTCTGTGCATGTAACCCGGAGGTCCATTGAGAGCCACTGAACTCCCTGTCCCAGCCTGGTAGGGCTGTCTGGAAAAAAGAGCAGACCCCTCAGGTCATTGTGTTAGCAAACTCCAACCAACAGCCCCAGACCTTGTGGAACTTATTAGGGCAGCCTCTCCGCACATAAGTCGCCTTGTAAAGGCATAAATACGAGTTGACAAGGCCCTTCCAGTCCGACAGGCCCAGGGATATGCTCTGTTTCCATTGCATTACCACCAAATTCCGTGCACAAAACAGCAGTATGCCCAGGAACGTCCTCATAGCAGTCGTATTTGTAAGTGACTCAGTCAGTCCAAGGATGCACACATCAACTCGTGTTGGGAGCTGTATGGCCACCGTTTCTGACATAAATTGAGTGACAGCAATCCAAAACAGTTTGATTCGTGGGCAGCTCAACAAAATGTGTAAGAGATCAGCCGACGAATCAGAACACCTCCAACACACAAACCCCTCATCTTTATATATTCTGGCAAGCCTCACTGGAGTATAGTATATCCAGTGAAGTAACTTAAATTGAATAAGCCTGTCTCCAGCAGAGATCAGATGAGAAAAAGGGTATTCCCAGGCATCTTCCCATTCCTCATCTGACAGTGCAGGAAGGTCTAACAACCAAGAACCTTTGCATTTGAGACTATGTACAGGAGGCATGAAAGAGGCTACGGTATACCTCAGATAATGGTTTACGAATGTGTTCTCCCCTGAGCAACCTCTCCAAAGGAGACATCTGAACTGTATAGGAGAGTCCCCCAAATTGGCACTGAAAAGCATGTCGCACCTGTAGGTAGCAGATAGATAAACAGCAGGAAGCTGATATTTAGCTTGTAATTGCTTAAACTTCATAAGGACATTGCTCAACGTAAGGTCACCTAGCGTCTTGATACCTCTAATTGGCCATACATGGAAATCGGGCATACCAAAAAAGTGCAGGGGTGTATGGGGGGACCAGAACTACCTATCCTGATACAATAGCCCACAGATAGAAGACCAGGCCATAATAGTGGCCCTCATCAATAAGGTGAGTCGATACGGAGCCCTCAGTCCTCGAAAAAGCAAGCCACTAAGAGCTGCATAGGATCCCAGAGAGGCAGCCTCTATCACCACCGCAGCATCTCCAGCATCACTCGCCAACCACCGATGTAGCACCACCATCTGGCCAGCCAAATTATATTTTCTAAAATCTGGAAGCGCTAGGCCCCCCTATACCAAGGCTCCTGAAGAATACCACGTTTTATTCTTGGAACTTTGGAGTTCCAAAGAAAGGAGCTGACTAGGGAATTTATTTTGCGAAAATAAAATTGAGGGACCCACACTGGAGAGTTTCTAAGGAAATATAGGAAAATAGGTAACATTTTCATTTTTATAAGGTTCACCTTGCCAATGAGGGCTAGGGGCAGGTGTTTCCAGGATTCCAGATGTGATTTTGGCATAGCTAGTAGGGGGAGAAGGTTTAGGGAGTAGAAATCCCGTAGAAAAAGCTGTAAAGGGAGAAAAGATGCAGCTGAGGATCTAGTCTGGGGTAGAATTTGAGACTTAGACCAGTTGACCTTTAACCCCGAGAATACTGCAAAGGCATCCAAAATGTGCAGAGCCGCCTGAAGCGATGGTCCTGCATCCGCAAGAAACAAAATAATGTAGTCTGCGTACAATGCCAGGCACTCCTCTATACCCCCTATCCTGAAAACAGTTATCTCTTGAGAGGACTGCAGAGCCACCGCCAGGGGCTCTATCACCAGTGCGAACAAACCAGGAGACAAAGGACAGCCCTGACGAGTGCCTCTCTCAATCACAAAG